CGATTCTTTACCACAGCTTCAAATGGGGAAATTTCGATATATATCGAAGCACGCCACGCCACTAATCTTTGCGACCTCTCTTTCAAAATACAAAGTAAGTCATACACCTCCATAACGACCCATAAAGTTGTGTAGGAGCACAATATTCTTCGGTTACGCTCCAAAATTCATTCAATATGTAACTAAAAGTATTAAGTGAGAACACTGATTACATCTTGAGCTAATCGCACGGAAAAATGGAGACATCAAACGGTGGCCCGGGTGGCCGGGCAGTAGTGAGACGGTTTTACGCCTAAGTATTTCCACAATGAATAGGTCAAATATTTTGAATTGTTTCTGAAATAATTCCAAATATTACAGAAGAACGTTTGTTAGGCGTAGAGCGTAAACTTTCAGTTCAATTGTGCCCTCACTTCTCTCACTACACCACATTTTATTACGCTCCTGAAAATAGTTAAATTACTCCTAAACATGAGGCAATTACCCATATTTGTCTCTGCGCCCTATTAGTTTTTGCATTGGAGTGAAGTTGAGACACAAGTTTCGAAACCCACCCATGATGTCACGGATCATTAATAATTTTACAAAATTTGTACACTTTTTTCTCTCCCATTAATGTATGAGTTTTTCTACTATTCATACAACTGTCACTACCGGTAATTGACAAATGCCAACAAACGCATAAAAATGGGCGCGTTTAACAATTTTAAGTACCTGCATGACATCCGTGGCAAATGCTTACAACACGGCCGTCACCCGAATGATGAAAAAACTCCTTAAATTAATCGGTGTGAAACAGTTGTGAACATTTAGGCAATTTATAATTGATCTAGGACAAGGCGCATAAGTGCAGTTTTAGAAAAAATTGAGATTTTAACGATTTCAAGTCAAACTAGTCTCAATGGATATTCAGTGAAAAATTCGCTCCCAAATTCCAATTTTTAAGCATCAAAAAGTCAGTTTGAACTTTCTCTCCGCCGAGGGGATGCATGCAATTTCGAAACTTCAAACACGTACTTCTCGGAATAGCAAAAACTGCACTTATGCGCCTTGTCCGCCAAGCGGCCAAGCCCCTCAATTGCAATAGTCATAGTTTTGTCAGTAGCACTGTGTTTTTTTTTCTTCTCTTTTCTTTTCTCTCTTTCTCCACGTATTTGTTTACATTTCTAGTAGGTTACTTTTATCTCTGACATTATTTTGCTCTATTTTTTTTTTTTCATTCTTGCTCCTATTTTTAACTTTATTTTATCTTATTATATCTTTCTACTCACGTCTTTTATCACCAAAACCTTTTAAAAAGAGCCAATATAATGTATAATATGTATCTTGTAAGTACATTGATAAGTAAGAAAAAGTGTAAAAAGACCATATAGGTCTGAACATGCCATTGTATTATATTGTATTTATAATACCCAACAAAAGAAAAAAAAAGAAAGAAGCACTGTGTCACATCGAAGAGCGGAAGGATGAGGAGAGCGATGCTGAAAAGCAAAGAAAATTGCGCTCAATTTTTTAAGATGGTCTTACAAATGCCGCGAACAGTGAGTGCCCAAGCGCAACTTTTTAAACTGAATATGAGGAAGTGCACATGTCACCTCAGGCTCGACTGATGTGTGCTGTATCAACAAAAACATTAAAACGGGAGCAGCTACATAAATATTTATCCCAGTTCGAACGTCAAGCAACGAATTAATTGACATCCTGATCGACCCGACAGGGTGGTCTTAGTTAGCCGAGTTCACACAGTGTTAATCCTGATTTGAAACCACAACAAAATGATTTTTATCAAGTTTTTCACAGTGTTCACCATTTGTCAGTTCTGCTTAACGTCGTGTATTTGCCAGCTTTTGACAATATCGACGACGAACTACGATTACGATGGGAACAGGATGGCGCCGATTATTCTAGGTAAGCTTGCATAACCTTCGATGAATTCTTGACAACGTTCGGCGTTTGGATATGGGTAGTTAATTTGCGGACCTCAACGCGAAGATAAATAAAAAACTAATCCACAATGAAATTAAGAAAACAAGTACCTTTTTGGATTACCTAGATTTTGGAAACTAAAATTAGTTTCCAATGTTGCGAACTTACCTACCGCCCCCTATTTTATTAACGCAGGTTTATCAGTCAGTTCTATCTGATTCGTGACATTTTGAATTATTCAAAATATTCTTTTCCAATACCTTGTAAAAAATATTCAATAGTATTAGTTTGAAAAAATATATGTTAAATTGAAAATGTCAAAATACTATACTTAGTTTGTTCATCGATATGTATGGGTTGTTTAACCTAACGGAAATAAGAGGAACAAAACTACTAAGTGAGGTAATTTTTTAGATTCTCTTGTAACAGTTAGTTAGTTGTTTAATTACGACGATCAGCAACTAGGCTATTTACGTTAAAGTCGAGGAATTTACCTTAAATTTTTAGATTTACTTGTTTAAAGAGCTTTAAAATTTCGGTACCTAATTACATTTGGAACATCGAAGCTTAAATGATAGGTGTTTGGAGGGAGGAAATTCTGAATTTTGATACGTGCATGTAGCATAGGTTTTTGGATTCTCTTGTAAGTTAAAAATGTATAATTCTTTTGATGCAATTTGCTATATGAAGCAATCTGGCAAGACTCAATAGTTAACAGTAATGCGAATAAGTGATTGATTTAGGCACGCGATTTTTTTTATCTGTGGAAATATAACGGCTAAAAAAACGCAATTTAAATGTATATCCTGATGACTTAAGCTGTTGACAAATAAGACGCACTCTTTAAAAATCGAGCCCATGAAAGCAACTGTTCTTTAATTCCATTGCAATGTCCCAGAATTTTTACAGACCTATTACGTTCCTATATATAGCAGCCACCGTAATTTTTACTTAGAAACATTCTGGTAAATTATACTCGTGCTTATAAAAACTACATAGTGACTGTCCTGTAAAAAAACTTATCGTTAGCGACAGCCAAGAATGGAGTAATGCCATTAAACCCCTGCATTCAATAAATCTCAGCGAGCGTTTCAGGTGTAAAAGTTTTAAACCAGAAGCCCGTCGGTCAATTGGACTGCATTTTGCAATTTAAAACTATAAATTCCGGCCCGGTTTAAAAACAACGTATGTACCATTAGTTTCCTTGTGTACATAAGTGTTTTTTCAGGTGAGCCAGAATTTATAGGTCCAAATTCCAAAATGCAATCCAATTAGTTCCTCCGATGCTCAAGGGTGGAATGTTTAGGACGTATAGGAAATAGTAGCAATACTGTTTGAAGGCGTTAAAAAAAGTAATAATTCTGATGTTTTTAGTGCATGGTGTGACAAAAAGCCAAATCATGGGCAAGTACAGTTCACCAGGGCCTCTCAATTGTCCAGTATCTAATGGCTGGGAACACTTATGGATGAACGTTGATATAGCTTTCTCTGGTACTCATTATCAGAAATGCTGGGTAACATAATATTAACATTTATTACTATCGTAAGTTGACTAAGATTTGATACGAATATGTGTGATTGAAATGTGGTTTTACGAGTCGTAGGCTATTTTCAAAATTTTTGCACTTATTTTATGGGTAAAATTCTAACATGGTATGATTTTAAGTCTGTAGATTTGACCAACGTTAACGTATTACGATACTTTTGACTATATGTGTGTGGGAAGAAGAAAAAGGAGCTACTAGGAGCATTGTGTTCCTGAGATCGTGCAAATTATTTTTACAATCTATGAACTTTAGGCGAATATAACAAAAAAATGTAATGTTACATTTTTAATATAACTAACATTTCCCAAGTGTACCGACAGAAATTATTTGAATTTGCAAGGTTTTCTCGCAAAGATTTAAAGGCGTTGAGCAATCTCAGCAGCATTGCAGTCGCAGTGCTTTTTTTCTTCTTTTTACTTTTTTTTTCTTTGTATAATGCTGTAGGCACTTTGAGGCCGAATAGAAGGATTTTTTTTTCTTGTCGAAACGTAGGCCTCAATGATAAATCTACAAGTGAACCTAATCCTCTCGCAGGAAAACTTTTCTAACATACCTGACTACATTTTGTTACAGAGATAGGCTACAAACACATAAGATCGAAATTATGATATTTTTCCGGTCAAAAATAGCACGCTCTTAGGTGGCAATTATACCAGGCCGTGGAAAAATCTTGATTCGAATGAAATGCTCTAGAAGCGTTACTCGTAATTTCGGGATGAAAAATCAAATTTCAACAAAAAAAAAACGTTGATCCATAAAAAAATAAATCCGACTTTACATTGTCACGTAAACGATTTGCTTGAAAAAAGGCAGATTTTCAAAAGGGAAAAGAGACCTCAATGTTACGCGCAATGGGTCAGAAGAGGGGCTCAGGTTTAGGTTTAGATTTTTTAATTTCACTATTTATTCTTACAGGTTTTCAGGCTAACACATCCAACTAGACTTTGTTTCAGAGATAGGCTAAAAACACGTAAGATCCATATTTTTATATTTTTTCGGCCAACGATGGCGCACGCTCATGGGTGAAAATGCCACGGGACATGGGCAGGTTTTGATCTGAATGAAACATTTCTCAGAGACGCTTAATGTATTAATTTCAAGGATTTATCGAGTTCAAACAGCAAACATGTTGATGCCTAAAAGGAAAATCTGATTTTACACTGTGAAGAATGATTTGCTCACAAGTGTTAATTACTTATAAAGTTTGAAATAGGTGAAAAAAACTTATGTTGTACACAAAATCGGCCAGAAACCGTTGATGGGCCGTAATTCAACGAAATCTTTATAGGTTTAAAATATCAGTAAAAATACAATTATTTCTAATTTCCAAGATTAGTATTTTATTTTAAATTATTTACTGATTGAAGTTATTGACTTTTCTAATTGTATTTATAATGTGTGATCCCTTGGTTTTAGTCTTATTCTTTATTCTGTAAGTAGCACAGACTGCACAGGCTGCACTAAATTGCAATTATGGGATAAAATTATTGCCTCTGCATCAGATAGTTGTGAATGTTGCCTATCTACTAATGGAAGGGGCCCCTGGTGTTGAATTTAATTTCAACGAATTGCAACTTTTCTTTGCATCGCAAATTACCTATCTTCTTAATAGATTTCATTCTACTAATTATTTTACGGAATTATTGGCATCTTTTCACCAAATAATGTAAAAATATTGCAATTGTATGGCAAAAAATTGCAATTATTTTGCATTAAATTGGCAACTTTATTTCAATTTTTTTTCGCGGCGCACTGTGTTGCTCAGGCGCACAGTGGATTGAGTCAACTAGAGAGGTCGGACATGACGTTTTTGACTAGAACTGCTAATTTTGATGTTTATTTCGTCACATTTTGAATTGTTAGGAGTGCCTGTACCAGGAAAATTCATGAGGAAACCAATGGAACCACTTTTAGGACCTCAAAGTTTTGTATAAACGGAGTTAGAAACGGAGTTATGAGCGTTTAAAGTTTTCGAATCTTGTCCGACCTTTCCTATTGACTCGATCCAAAGTGAGGCGAGACCGAGTCCCATTATTATGGGTTTAGATTTCTTAATTTCGCTATTTTTTCATTCAGGCATACAGGTTGAAATTACTGTATGATCGATCCAGACACAAGTGTACCAATCAAGTTGGCGTCCAAACGAGAGTCGAAGGCTCGTTTGGCAGCCTCGGGGCGAGTGATTTTGTGACGGATAATTTTGCAGCGAGGCTCCTTCCTGACTTTCAATACTTCCACAAATTCATTACAGCATTCGAGATGAGGGGTTACACTAAAGATTTCAGTCTAAAATTGGCTCCATATGACTGGCGCTACGCTCCCCGTAAGTTGAGATCACACACTCTTTCAACTAATGTAGAAAACACGCATGGCAACTTTACTCGTTGACTTTTGTTGTTAGTTTATCTTCCTGAATTTTTACCAGATAAAATTAAATTTTCCCCCTTTCCGCTTTTTTTTTATTCAATATTGCATTGAGTCTATAGATGAGGAAGACTGAGAGTAATAAGCTAAAATTTGAACATTTGAAGTAAAACTTCAAATTTGAAACTACCATTGTCAGCTTTTGTACAGAGTTTTTCCTAAAATATCATAATATATTTTGTTGAATTTGTTCAATTTTGTCATTACCATAAACTCTCTCT